ACGTGGTCTGTTGATATATCAAAATCGTCTTCCATTGTGATGACACGTCTAAATATTTTTAGATCTTCACAGTGGCAGGGAACACTTCCACTAATATTGGCAGTTAATATCCACTAATATTACCAGTTTAACTGCACTGACACTGTTGGATGAGAACAAAATTTCAACTGAACTGAGTTGAATAATGACACTAACTTGGCGACATGGTTATTAAACTGAATTAACAGTGAACTGACTTGGACTAAATAATGACACTATTGCCTTCTGTTGAGTTGCTTGTAGCTGAATTTAACTTGTTTCATATTTTATGAACTTTGCAACATTGACACTGTTGGTGAACTGAATTGAGCTGAATAATGACACTATTGTCCTCTGTACAGCTGCATTACATCTTAAATGTAATTTGTTTCATAATAAAAAAGAAATTCTGTTTTATAAATGTTAAGTTGTTTGGAAACAATATGTGTTCTGAATTGTATAAAACACACACACACATATAGCTTGAGGACCAATTCTCACTATTAACTATGGCTTTTGTGTCAGTAAACTCTTAATTTTCTGCTTATTAATAGTTAGTAAGGTAGTTGTTAGGTTTAGGTGTGGGGTGGATTAAGGGATCTAAAATATGCTCATGCAGAATAAAGCATTAATATGTGCTTTGTAAGTACTAACAGCCAATATGCTAGTAATATGCATGCTAATAAGCAACTAGTTATTAGTGAGAATTGGTGTGTGTATATGTTAGTTTAATTGTGTCCATTGAAGTGAAAAGCTCTGATTGGTGGATTTAAGCTCTTGTCATCTGGCAACCCCAAGCATGACAGCATTACCAATGCAAGATAGCGAATACGTCAATTGAACAGAAATGTTTACAGGATAAAATGCTTAATCATGGTTAATTAATCAAGAGACGCAGAAACTGTGACAATCTTAATACAGTTGATGTGATTTTGGTCACCCCTGGTTCGTGCAAAGTGTTTGTTTCATACCAGAATGAAGCCAGAGCTGAATTCCTTGAGCCGTAACGTGGTCAACTAAACCATGAAACCTCTCTGTTTTGCAGTCACAAATGCCAGATCCCAAGACCTTCAAGCAGCATTTTGAGAGCAAGCACCCCAAGAGCCCTCTTCCCCCAGAGCTGGAGGGCGTGGAGGCATGAACGGCCCAGACAACAGAGGTTGATTGTGTAAAACGTCACAATAAGAGTCCTGATCGCAAATTTTATTCAGCAGGACACGATCAGCGCTCTTACCTGAGTTTTATACATGCATCTTCCCCTTCACTGCAGACATGAATCCTGTGGATCAAAGACTGATGACGTTTAGCTTCCCTCTCTCAACACTTTCAGAGCACTTGCCTTGGCTACGATCAGATCAACCTGCACTCACATGCTTTCTTTTCTCATCTTACTTGTGTAATTTAATAGATTGAGAGAAATTAGAACACTACCAGTGATTGTCAATTTCCTCAATTGATCATCAGTAACATAAATGTGGTAGTTACGGACATATTTGTCTGCTTTTGCTTGTTAGATAAGTCATGGATGAGTGCAAATGGATATGGGAGCGGTTTCCCACTACTTTTAGCCTGGGCAAAAACGTTAATTTTTATTTTTTTATTTTTTTCCCTCCTCATTTACTAATTTTGCTTTCCACCGATCAATCTCTTTTTGTCCAAAACAAGCTGGTTCTGTACACTGAACCTGGAATCTGATGTGTTTCTGTAAAATCACTGGATGTGCCCGAGGTTACTGTATTCTTAATTTAATGTTGCTGCAGAAGTTATTTCTCTTCGGAATTATTTCAAACAAAATTGCCTCAATGTTTGATTTTCCTGCTCAAGCCACCTGGTTTCCACACCAATGTAATATATCTCTTTAATAAAATTGTACTTTTAAGTCATTGTGAGGCATGTCTTCAACACAGTAGGTAAGAAACCTATGTCCAAAAACTTGATCTGAATATAGTTTTAATGTGTGAATGGAAAAAGAATTGACAGTGGCAACCAGGAACAGTGTTTCTAGGGCAGTTATTATGCATCATTACCTTGGCAACAACACAGCAGGTCATTAATCACAGCAGAAGCAAACAGAATCGGACTCTGCCTGTTTGACCTAGTATATGTCTGGAGTTCTGGCCCAGTGAACTGATGTTTTAAACTGGTTTTACATTAGCTCAGTACATGCAGATTTGCACAATGATTGTCCTTTGCTATCTTGTTATTGTTAACTAAAACTATTAAAAATAATTTTTGTTAATTGAAAGAAAGCTGAAATAAAATATAAATATTAGATGAAAAATGTAAACTAAAACTTCAAAAAATTTGAAATGTTGCTTTGGCAACTAACTGAAATAAAATAAGTTTAACCTTTGTGCTGTGCTGAAAATTATCTGCCTATTTTGATGTTCCTTGTCAAAAAATGACCGTTCTTTTAAAAATTGCTTGTTAATCTCTCAATATGCTATATTATAACCAAATCTTGGATTCAATATTTTGTCAGCTTGTTTTCTTTGATTGTAGACTGAGCTTACTTATGCACTTCAGTTTTTTTTTTTTTTGTGTGTGGATAATTTGTGGATACATTTTTAGGAGCAGAAATTTATAAGCAGGTTTTTGTAGACTGGTCATTTTTGAATGAAACACCACAAGTGTGTAAGGTGGGGGAAATGCCCAAAACAATGCAAAAATTATCAGTTAAAAGTTTGTTTTCTGGAAAGTTGTTGTACCCTGCGTGAGCAAAGTCAGTGGGTTTTAGTCCAATGCAATAATATTAATAACTAGAATTTTTGGGAAATTTAATAAAATAAAAATTATTAAACCTATGAAAAAAAAAATATATATATATATATGTAGTCACGATCGCTACTGTGAGAGAGCACGTAGACGTGGAGTACATCAACAAGGAGACTTTAATAACATCAAGGGAACCAGGAAAACACACATAGCAGAGGAGACTGACAAACAATACCGGACGAAGGAAGACAGGGCAGACTAAATACTGGAGCAAATGAAGATAATAAACAAAACACAGCTGGAAACAAATGATGAACTAATCAGGGAACAGGAAGGACCAAATAAGGGCATAAGGAAAGAAGGACATGGAGTACATGGAACAAACGAAACACAAAACAGGTCCATAACCCTGACATTACTCTCCCCCCTGCCAGAAGGCGCGTCCTGCGCCGTAACAATTCCACCAGGGATGTGCAGGACTGGGACACGAGGAATACCTCCAGGGCGGATCAGGCAGTCCAGGGTGCCATGGCGGCACAGGGAGGTCGGGCCATGGTGGAGCAGGCAGTTCAGGAGGCCATGGCGGCACATGGAATTGAGTTTCAGAGGCCCTCCATAGGCTTAACTCAGGAACTGTGACCCTCCCTGGGCTTAACTCGGGGACTGGAGCCCTCCTTGGGCTGGACATGGGGACTGGAGCCCTTTCTGTGCTAGACTCGGGGATAGGGCGGAGAACAGTCATTTTTCCTCATCCTCCTCCTTTGGTTAGAGGACATCGGAACAGCCGGCGGGCTTGGGAATGCCGTTGCCGGCGGGCTTGACTTCAGCGCGGCCGGCGGGCTGGTTCTGGCTCGGGGCCGGACGCTCTCCAGACACCGGAGGGTCCCTTCCCTCGAACAGTCTTTTTTTCCTCATCCTCCTCCTTTGGTTAGAGGACATCGGAACAGCCGGCGGGCTTGGGAATGCCGTTGCCGGCGGGCTTGACTTCAGCGCGGCCGGCGGGCTGGTTCTGGCTCGGGGCCGGACGCTCTCCAGACACCGGAGGGTCCCTTCCCTCGAGCTTAGTCCCGTGGTGTCTGGGAGGTCCACGGGGCGATGGTAATTGGCCCCGTGCCAGAACAAAGAGTTGATGGTGGCGTCATTTAAAGCCGCTGCTGTGGCGAGCCTGCAGAACTCCCTGGCATACTCGACAAAGGGGAGATCTCTACGGGCTAGAAAAATTAATCTAGCAGTGATTTCCATGATCGCGGGATGAAAACAAAAGACTTTAAAAAACGGGGGAAAAAACTCGGGGAGAAGAGGCACCGCTCACTTTATGTTCTGGTCCGGTATTCTGTCACGATCGCTACTGTGAGGGAACGAGGAGACGTGGAGTACATCAACAAGGAGACTTTAATAACATCAAGGGAACCAGGAAGGCAGAGGAGGCTGACAAACAATACCGGACGAAGGAAGACAGGGCAGACTACACTAAATACTGGAGCAAATGAAGATAATAAACAAAACACAGCTGGAAACAAATGATGAACTAATCAGGGAACATAATGGGAACAGGAAGGACCAAATAAGGGCATAAGGAAACCAGGACATGGAGTACATGGAACAACGAAACACAAAACAGGTCCATAACCCTGACATATATATATATATATATATATATATTAGGGCTGTCAAATGATTAATCGCATCCAAAATAAAAGTGTGTGTACATATGTGTGTATACTGTATATATGTATTAGGTGTATATATAAATACACACATATATATAAGAAAAATTTTACATTTATATGTAAAATATTTATATATAATTTAAATTATATCTAAATATATATGTACATATAAATAGTTTTAAAATAGATGCATGTATGTGTGTGTATTTATATATGCATAATAAATATATTCAGTATACACACATATGTATACACACACTTTTATTCTGGATTTTTACTTTGCAGCCTGAAATTCAGACAGACAGTTTTTGTTTTATCCAGCTCTATTCACTAAGTGCAATTTATAACATCCAAGTGAAAGATATAACACTAACATATCAGGAAAAAAAATTTAAAAACAGACTCACGGAGTTAGAAAAAGGATCACCCCCTTGTGTCAGTATTTTGTTGAACCACCTTTTGCTTTAACTACAGCTTTTAGTCTGTTAGGATTTGTCTCTACTAACTTTGCACATCTAGACATTATTTGCCCGCTCTTCTTTGCAGAACTGCTGAAGTTCTGTGAGTGTTTGTGGACTGCAGTCTTCAGGTCATTCCACAGATCTTCAGTGGGGTTTAAATCTGGGCTCTGACTGGACCATGCAACAACATTCATCTCTTTCTCCTTCAACCACTGTATGCTCAGTTTTGCTGTGCGCTTTGGGTCATTGTCATGTTGGAAGGTAAACCTTCTTCTGCCAGAAAGTTGTCAATTGGAAGAATTTCAACTTACATATTGTCTGTTGGACATTTCGCCAGACATCGTTTGGTGTTGAGGCCAAATAATTCAATTTTAGTCTCATCTGCCTCAGAATCTTCAAGGTGTGTTTTGGCAAAGCTCAGTCGTGACTGCATGTGGCTTTTCTTTTTTCTTGCAACCCTCCCATACAAGCCACATTTGTGGATAATTTGTGATATTGTTGTCACATGCTCACAGTGACCATTCTTTGTCATAAATTCCTGCAGCTGCTTCAGAGTCGCTGTCGGCCTCTTGGTCGCCTCTCTGACCAGTTTCCTCACTGTGCTTCTAGGCATTGATAAAGCCTTTGTAATGTTTTTGTCTCCATCTCCTGACTTGTGCCTGTCTACAACTTTATCCCGGAGATCTTTTGACAGTGCCTTGCCACCCATAATTGATTGTTTGCTTCAGTTGCATTAGCAAGGACTGAAATGCTCCAGGAAAGCTCTTTTCATGCTGAGCTGATCAAAATGACCACAGCTGATCACAGTTGAAACTCAAATGGCTTTGTGTGCCACTGAGAAGGTGATTAGCTAAACCTGATTGAGTTTACAAGTCATTTTTAGGAGGGGGTGATCCTTTTTATAACATGTTGGTGTTATATCTTTTACTTGGATATTATAAGTTGCACTGAGTAAAAACAAAAACTGTGTCCGTCTTCATTTCAGGCTGCAAAGCAACAAAATGTGATTATTTTAAAGGGATAATAATCTGGTAATAGTAATCGTAATAATAATAGTAATAATCTGAATGTTTTATTATGAGTTATGAAAAAAAATACTTAAAAGGAATGTTGTTCGATCACAATAATTTATTTCGATTTTTGCTTTAGTTTGCAAAGATAATTTTTCTAATCAGTTTGTTGTAATTGCTTCCGCCCTGAACTCCCCAATCCCTATCTGTCCCACTCTCGCAGGAGAAAGTATAACATGTGGACGAACAGGAAGTTGCCCTGCAGGTTGAGACGAGTCAGGACTGCAGACACACCCTCCAATAAAGCGTTCTGATAGAGAGACTATTACAATGAACAAGACCATGCAAAATACAGCAGATCACTCACTGGAAATGATTGCCTGGGTAGACTTGCACAAATAGGGTACAAAATATGGCCTGAAACTCTTACAACATAATAGTTCGAATTAGTTTGTAATTAAAAATCGATTTTTATAAGAATGAATTGAATACAAATTCACAAGACTACTGTGACATAATTCTGAGAAGGTCAGGACCTTTAAGGTGTGACAGGTCAAAATCACCATTTTAAAGGCAGGGCTCACGTTCTCTGTTTAAATCAAACTAGGTCAAGTAATAGTTTATCAAATGTATCTATAACTGTCACAACAAACAACGCCTCTTGTGCATAATCATGTAAAATGCTGGGTTTTTTTTCCATTAATCATACTAAGTTTGTGTAATTGCATATTATATTATATAATTGGATTGAGTTGATTTGTGGGATTGACCTCGTTTGTGTCATCAGTGACTCACGGATGAGAATGATGGTATTTCAACGCTGAGCATGTTGAGGTATAGGTGTGGTTGAGGGTGGGGTAAAAATCCCTCTTTATGAGTCAAAAGCTGACATTTAGACTTGCACAAATAGGGTACAAAATATGGCCTGAAACTCTTACAACATAATAGTTCGAATTAGTTTGTAATTAAAAATCGATTTTTATAAGAATGAATTGAATACAAATTCACAAGACTACTGTGACATAATTCTGAGAAGGTCAGGACCTTTAAGGTGTGACAGGTCAAAATCACCATTTTAAAGGCAGGGCTCACGTTCTCTGTTTAAATCAAACTAGGTCAAGTAATAGTTTATCAAATGTATCTATAACTGTCACAACAAACAACGCCTCTTGTGCATAATCATGTAAAATGCTGGGGTTTTTTCCATTAATCATACTAAGTTTGTGTAATTGCATATTATATTATATAATTGGATTGAGTTGATTTGTGGGAATGACCTCGTTTGTGTCATCAGTGACTCACGGATGAGAATGATGGTATTTCAACGCTGAGCATGTTGAGGTATAGGTGTGGCTGAGGGTGGGGTAAAAATCCCTCTTTAT